TAGATATGAGTATGGGTAGTGAGAGTATAAGTAAAGATATAAAGAATTAACTCTAAGTGGATCAAAGACCTAAAAGTAAAACTTTAAACTATAAGAATCTTAGAAAATGCAGGAGACACCCTTATGGAAATTGGAACTGGCAACCAATTCTTGATCAAAACCCCAAGTGCCCATACCATAAGAGATAAGGTAGACAAGTGGAACCTCACTAAACTGACTAGCTTCTGCAAAGCAAAGTATACCATCAAGAGAAAAGAGAGACAGCTCACAGAATGGGAAAAAATATTTGCCAACTGTGTATCTGACAAAGACCTAACATCTAGGGTCTACAAGGAACTCAAATGCACCAAAAGAAAAAAAACAAAGAGCCCCATTAAAAAGTGGGCAAAAGACATGAATAGACACTTCTCAAAAGAAGCTATATGGGCAGCAAACAGACACACGAAAAAGGGCTCAACCTCACTAATCATCCAAGAAAAGCAAATCAAAACCACATTGGGATATCACCAAAACCCAATAAGAATGGCCATAATTAATAAAACAACAACAGCAGATGTTGACAAGGATGCAGAGAAAAATGAACGATTCTACACTGCTGGTGAGAATGCAAACTAGTGCAACCTCTTTGGAAGACAGTGTGGCGATTTCCAAAAGAACTAGGAATTGACCCTCCTATGACCCAGTAATCCCCCGACTGGGAATGTACCCAGAGAAGCTCAATTCATACTACAAAAAAGATACCTGCACACGCATGTTTGTTGCAGCTCTATTCACAATAGCAAAAACATGGAACCAACCATGTTACCCACTGAAGCTGGAGTGAATTTTTTAAAAATGTGGTACATATGCACAATGGAATATTATGCAACCATAAAGAAGGACAAACATATGGACTTCATAGCAACTTGGATGGATTTAGAGTCTATCATACTGTGGATAGACTGTTCTATGATAGAACAATGGATTTAGTGTTCTATCATAGAAACAAAGAACAGAGTGCCATATGTTCTCACTCATAAGCAGACCTTGAACAATTACCACAATACTATAAGAAAGGGATTGGCAGAGGTGGGAAAATGCCAGGGAGGGGCAGGATTGGCAGTAGAGGGAAACCACCAAGGAATGGAGGGGCACACCTCATCAACAAGGGTACCTGCATAATGAACATTTGTGTACATAACCCTGAATTGTACCCTGCATCTTTAAAATAAAAAATAAATAAATAAATTAATTAATTAAAAAGAAAGAAACCCACTAAAGATAAAATATGAGTTACATACATGATTTAAAACACATATTTTTTAAAATACAAAAAAATACTACAAAAGATAGATTTCAACATGTACTGGAAACTTTACTATTATCCAAGATACAATAACAGGAACTGCATTTAGTCTCTCACCTGAAACAATGAAAACACTAAAAAATATATATTCATGGTTTTCTAAATCTTGAGTATTAGGCATGTAAACAGTACCTAGATGGATTTTTTTTCCTCCTCAGAAAAATCTTCTGACATCCATTTTCATCTGATTTTTATGATTCTATGCTTATTTTTCATATTTATTTTCAGAGCACTTTTTTTCTAACATTTTAGAATTTGTTCTCATCTTTTCACAATACCAATTTTTCACCCACTAGTCCAATACTTATATTTACAGAAAAAGCTACACAGATTTCTTCTTTCTCTGTTTTCTGTCCACATGAGCAAAATTTCCTCTTGGAATTTAAATTGCATTAATGCTTGACCTATGTGGTTTTATTGATTCTACTTTATAGCAGCCTGACAAGGGTGAAGGAGAGAGCTCAACATTTGGCTATTTATAACATAATTTTGATATTTCAAATATTTAATTTGTATATTGTGTTATTTTGTTTGCTTAGTTTGCAACCATATACTAGAGCTCAGATCTATTGAATTGGAGTCGTAAAGTGGCCATTTTGCACTTTGTTCCACTTTGTTTGAGCTGCACATCTAGTTCAAAATAAGTTGGACTCATTAGTTTTAAAACTACATGGTCCATATAAAATTTTTGTCTTCATAAGACTAAACTTCAGTTAGAAACATTTTACCATCAGAATCAGCATCTACCCTTAATCCAGACTTTCACCATGGATTTGGTGTTAGACTCCAAATCCAAGGGGATTTTCTTCATGTTAATATTGAATCTACAACCACCATAAAGGAGGTCAAAGAGAAATGGTGACCAAAGGCTGTGAATGAGCTTACCTACGAAGTCAGTTCAGGTTTTGTGTTCTTTTGGTTTGTGGAAGAGAAAAGGGTTTCATCCATAGCAACCCACATCTCACACAACCTAACTGTAACTTCAGCCTTTGTTCCCCCAAACTTAGAGTATAAATATGGAGTTTTCAAGAATTCAGTCTCCACCTCCCACTTGCTTCTCCCTGTTCTACCTGAATTAGTTTCTTCCATTAATATAATTCCACTTATAAATATAGTCATACCATAAAATATATAGAATATTATTTTGCAATATGTCTTATTTGGGGTATTTATTGTACATTGGTCATTTCTGCTAGTTCTTAGAAAAAGTGTGGGAAGCCTGTTTTTATACTATTACTTTCATCAAGAGAATTCTACCTCATTTTCACAAGTAATAAATTTAAGATTCCTGCTTTCTACGATAAAATCAACTATATAAGGGCAAGTGGTAATAGTAATTTAAATGTAGTAAGTTTGGGAAGCCTATGTATTGCAAGTAAATGAAAACATGAATTGAGACAGTGATTTTAAAGACTATTAGCAGAAATATTTTATGTAATATAGTGTTTCTGAACTTAGGTCTACAGGGCAACACAATTCTTTTCATACCAATTCAAATTGCATACAGTGATACTAACACTGGAAGGATTGGAGTGGTGGATAGACAATTTTAAGAATCAGCAGTAGAGGCTCTGATATACTGGAGTGGGGAAGGAAGTCATGTTCATTTGAGATTCACTAACAAAAATATATCTCATATTTGGTAAGAGCCATATCATCTTGAATATAGTGTTCATTTTAGAAAATCATATTTCAAAGGAGGTACACCAATAAAAAGACAATGTCAGCAAATAGATATGATGTGATTGAAATAATGGAAATTATATTAAAGAAAGGCAAACTTTGAGAAGATTAAAAGGAAAACTGTAACTTTGTGAAGATGACTTAAACTCATTCAGTTTGACCTTGAATTAGATGCTCAGATATTAGGGGTCAGTAGGAAAACTTTCCAGGAAAATAGTTAATTTTAATAAAATATAAATATATTCCTTGGTCAAATTTTTCTGAAAATGTAAAATACAAGTTCAGAACACTAAAAGTTATACTTTGGAAATCCAAGTACTGGATTTGTATTTATTCAAACTTGACCATCTGTAATTCATAAAAATAAAATAAGGCACAAGGTATTATCCAGGGAAAACTAACAAAAAGACTCAAAAGAGAAATCATAGAAAATAAGAATGAAATGTACATACAGTACTTTAGAGAGTTTTCAATAAAATATAAAAGAGTTCAGATTTTATAATATAAACAATAAAGGGTAGTAAGTATGAAGGACTTTTAGAAATTACTAAACTATAATAATACTTTAAAATAATAAACTTGCAAACAAACAAAAAATGGTTAGAACAAATGCTGACTCCCATATTCATGAATATTTTTCACACTTGGCTTATATTAGAAACATACAGGCACCTTTACACTATGTAGACTAACTCACAGGAAAATTTAAAGGAATGATGATAATGTAAAACTATTTCAGGCATAAGTAAGAGTATAGAATGAAAACTATAAACAGAAAAACTAAAATATGTGAAAACAATCAAATGCACTAAGGAAACAGTAGCAGAAACTCGATAGAATCTCATTTGCTCATATCACACATTCTATTACTTTGTCTTGAAGCACTGAGGGGTAGAATTTTTTTTTTTTTTCGAGGAAACTATGATTCTATGTAGGGGGCTCTGGAAATATCTAACATGCATAACATAGTAGTCTTAATACACAATTTGTGACAGAACGTGGTGGCAGAGTTTAATGATTTTATCACTAGGTGTTTCTATACCTTAATGAGGTAACTTGCTTGCAAAATGTATCAAGATATAGCATGGAGGCTGGAGGGGTTAGAAGAGAAGAGACATGATTTTCTATGTTACTTTGCCTGGATGGTGTGCCTCCCCTTCCCCCTAGAGGTGTAGAGGCTTATTTTCCATTCTGTCAGAACCAGTAACTTAGGATATAGAAATATATTAATTATCTAGTCTATTCTCAAGGAACTCATGTTTGCTCAGACAAATAAAGACATGTAGCTACAAAGGTATAAATAGAATATAGTATAAGAAAGCGAAAGTATGTATAACACAAATCACTTCCAGAAAGTTTTGGGCGTGATTACAGAACTCTCATTAAGGAAGTGATGTTTGAACTAAGCCTTAAGGAGTTTTTGAGAGACATGAGGAGACACAGACCAGAATATCTCAGGTAGAGAAAAGAGAGCACATTAAAGCACACGGACAAGAAAGCTGGCACTGGATGAGGACAAGATGAAGGACACTAAATAAATTATGCTAGCTAGAATTGTGGGTTTAGTGCTTTTAGAATAATCATAGTCAATGCTACTTTCAAAACTTTTTATCCGTAGGTCTTTTTCCTTTGATATTAAGTGTAAACCTCTACACTGGAAAACATATTTTCTCTGCAATAATATAAAATTTATCATCACTCTATTTTATTGTTAAATCGTATTGTTTGTTTCAAACCATATTTTTTAAAAAATCCTATAGTTACTCTTATTGTCATTAAAAACTATAGAGTTAAAATAGTAAACATATTTTATCATGTTCTCATATAAGAATATTTTGAAAAAAGTATCCTCCAACCCACAGAACAGGAGAAAATATTAGAACTCGGTATCCAAAAAAGGTCTAATATTCAGAATCTATAAGGAACTCAAATAAATCAACAGGAACAACAACAAAAATAACGCATTAAAAAGTGGGCAAAGCTGCTACTATAAAAGCTGGTGGAATGCAAGCTTTAGGACTTCACCTGACAGATCCAAGTCAGCATCTTGTTCAGAACAGTCTTTGGACTCTCAGGAATCTTTCAGATGCTGCAACTAAACAGAAAGGGATGGAAGATCTTCTTGGGACTCTTGTTCAGCTTCTGGGCTCAGATGATATAAATGTGGTCACCTGTGCAGTTGGAATTCTTTCTAACCTCACTTGCAATAATTACAAGAACAAGATGATGGTAACAAGATGCCAAGTGGGTGGTATAGAGGATCTTGTGTGTACTGTCCTTCGAGCTGGTGACAGGGAGGATATCACTGAGCCTGCCATCTGTGCTCTTTGTCATCTGACCAGCTGACCCCAGGAAGCATAAATGGCTCAGAATGCAGTTCGCCTTCATTATGGACTACCAGTTATGGTTAAATTCCTTACACCCACCATCCCATTGGCCTCTGATCAAGGCCACAGTTGGATTGATTAGAAATCTTGCCCTTTCTCCAGAAAATCGAGAACCTTTGCATGAACAGGATGCCATTCCACGACTAGTTCAGTTGCTTGTTCGTGCACATCAGGGTACCCAGCGCTGTTCGTCCATGGGTGGAACACAGCAGCAGTTTGTGGAGGGAGTCCGCATGGAAGAAATAGCTGAAGGTTGAACTGGAGCCCTTCACATCCTCGTTTGAGATGTTCATAACCGAATCGTAATCAGAGAGCTAAATACCATTCTGTTGTCTGTGCGTCTGCTTTACTCTCCCATTGAAAATATTCAAAGAGTAGCTGCGGGGGTCCTCTGTAAACTTGCTCAGAACAAGGAGGCTGCAGGAGCTATTGAAGCCGAAGGAGCCACAACTCCTCTCACAGAGTTACTTCACTCTAAGAATGAAGGTTTGGCAACATATGCAACTACTGCTTTGTTTCAAATGTCCAGCTTTCAGTTGAGCTGACCAGTTCTGTCTTCAGAACAGAGTCCATGACTTGGAATGAGACTGCTGATCTTGGATTTGATATTGGTGCCCAGGGGAACCTCTTGAACATCGCCAGGATGATCCTAGCTATCTTTCTTTTCACTCTGGTGAATACGGCCAGGATGCCTTGGGTATGGACCCCATGATGGAACATGAGATGGGTGGCCACCACCCTGGGGCTGACTATCCAGTTGATGAGCTGCCAAATTTGGAGCATGAATCAGCTGGCCTGGTTTGATACTGACCTGTAAATCATCCTTTAGCTGTATTGTCTGGCCTTGCGTTGTGAGTGGCCTGTAGAGTTGCTGAGAGGGCTCGAGGGGCAGGCTGGTATCTCGGAAAGTGCCTGACACACTAACCAAGCTGAGTTTCCTATGGGAACAATTGAAGTAAACTTTCTGTTCTAGTCCTTTTTGGTCGAGGAGTAACAATACAAATGGATTTGGGGAGTGACTCAAGAAGTGAAGAATGCAGAAGGATGGATCACAAGATGGAATTTATCAAACCCTAGCCTTGCTTGTTAAAATTTAAAAAAAAAAATCTGTAATGGTACTGACTTTGCTTGCTTTGAAGTAGCACTTTAATTTTTTTTTTTGCAGTAAATGTTAGTTTTTTAAGTCTCTTGCAGTGTTAAGTTATAGTGAATACTGCTACAGCTTCTAATTTTTTAAGAATTGAGTAATGTTGTAGAGCACTAATTCATAATCCCTCTAATTGCAATCTGAATAAAGTGTAACATTATTACACTTTTGTATAAAATAGGCAAATAGAAATGGTCCAATTAGTTTCCTTTTTAGTATGCTTAAAATAAGTAGGTGGATCTATTTCATGTTTTTGATCAAAAACTTTATTTGGGATATGTATGGGTAGGGTAAATCAGTAAGAGGTATTATTTGGAACCTTGCTTTGGACAGTTTACCAGTTGCCTTTTATCCCAAAGTTGTTGTAATCTGCTGTGATAACAAACCTTCCAGAGAAAATGCAGTTATAAAAATGGTTCAGAATTAAACTTTTAATTCATTCAAAAAAAAGTGGGCAAAGGACCTGGCTAGACAGTTCCCAAAGGAATACATACAGTCAACACATAAATGAAAAAATGCTCAGCATCACTAATTATAATAGAAATTCAAATCAAAACTGCAATGAGATGCGATCTCACACAAGTCAGAATAGCTATATTAAAAAGTCAAAAATGACAGGTGTTGGAGTGGCTGTGGAGAAAAAAGAATACATATACACCATTGGTGGTAATGTAAGCTATTATAGCTCCTGTGGAAAAAAAATGGAAATTTCTCAACAAGCTAAAAGTAGGGTTACCTTTGAACCCAGCAATCCCACTTCTATACCCAAAGAAGCATAAATCATTCTACCAAGAAGACACCTACATTCATATGTTTATTGTAGCACTACTCACAATAGCCAAAACACGAAACCAACTCAGATGCCCATCAACGGTAGATTGGATAAGAAAATTGTGGTGCATGTACACTATGGAATGCTGTGCAACCATAATAAAGAACAAAATCATGGCATTTGCAACAACATGGAAACAGCTGGAGATCAATATTCTAGGCAAATTATCACATAAACAAAAAACTGAATACTGTATGTACTAATGTGTAGTAAACATTGGGCACACATGGCACAAGGATGAGAACAGACTCCATGCACTACTAAAGGATGGAGGGGGAATAAGAGGTACAACACCATCCATTGGAAACCATGCCCACCACTGAGGGGAGAGGTCATCAAAATTCCAAGTCTTTCCTTCATACTGTACACCTCTGTAACACAGTTCCACATGTACCCCGTGATTTAAAAAAAAAAGTAGTCCTCAAATAGAAAATCAATTAGAAGTTTATAAATGAGCCAAATGTTGTTGAAAAATGCATAATTGGAACTATTTAATTAGACTGTACTTTATCAACAACAGGTTTTATTTCCTTCTTGCAAATAATTGGGTGATTTGACCACACTTTTCAAAGAAACAATCGACTGATTAGTATTTCTCATAAAGCAAGCCAAAGTAGTAATATATGTAGACAACTTTTTTTAAAAACACAAGAATCATTTACAGAAAAATAAATTACTTTGAAAAGTTTTAAATTTCTAAAAAAACAAACCTGTGGAATGAAGACAATGAACTTTGAATATAATTAATGAAGAAAATAATTGCAAATTATACCAAGCTTACATACTGCTAACCCTAGTTTAAAATTATGTTATATTAAATGTACTGAGCAAGCCAGACTTGGTGGCTCAGCCTGTAATCCCACATTTTGGGAGACTGAGGTGAGTGAATTGCCTGAGCCTGAGGATTCAAGACCTGTCTGGGCAACTTGGTGAGACCTCATCTCTACAATAAATCAAAAAATTAGCCAGGCGTGGCAGCACGCCTGTAGATCCAGCTACTTGGAAGGTTGAGGTGGAAGGATCACCGGAGCCCAACAGGTCGAGGCTGCAGTGGCTGGGAGCATGCCACTGCATTCCAATCTGGGTGACAGAGTGAGACTCCAACTCAAAAAAAAAAAAAAAACAAAGAAAAGAAAATGTACTGAGCAAATACATTTTACAAAAGAGTGAGAATTTATCAACTGCAATTTTTCAAAAGCAACTCACGACAAGAAGTGTGAGTATTCATTTACCTATTATTTATTTATTTTAAAGTTATGAAACAAATGCCACAAATTTGGATTTCTTGACAAAAAGAACAAATGGCAGCACATTTTAAAATCAGGCCATGTCAATAAACTAAATGAGGCTAACTTACTCATTAAGCTATACTCATCTTCACTGTAGCCTACAAATCGTACTAAACCAATGGAGATGCAAATATGAATGAAAGAACTGTCAATTATATGACCTTTCCTATGTATCTGTCGTTATTAGCATATGTGGGATTATTTAACAGACCTTTGTTACATTACTATGTTGTGCCAGGTGGTGTGCTTGGCACGATAAATTTATAAAAACAAAAGAGGAGGAGGAGGAGAAGGAGGGAGATGGAAGAAGAAGAAGAGGAAGAGAAAGAGGAGGAAGAGGAGGAAAAGGAAGAGGAAGAGGATCAAGAAGAATAAAGAGGAGGAAGAAGAGGGGAAGGAGGAGAAGAAGAAGGAGGAAGAAGAACTCTACTCTTCAGAAGCCCAAAATCCAAGAGTTTGGGGATTTAATACCTTAAATATATTCAGGGCAAGCCTCCATTGGTAACATTCCAACTCCCTTCCAAGGCCCAGCTGAACCTTGAGCAGATACACCAACACAAAAATGAAGCACAGCCTGAACTCTTGTTTCAAATAGTTCTCTGTGAAGTTCCCATTGTAATGCTAGGGCCTATACTGGCTCAATTCAAAGCAATTAAAAAAAATAACATTCTAAAATAGTTTCATTCATAAAAGAGCTTCTATAAGTATGTATTTTTTTTCCTTTTTTTTTTTTTAATTGGATTCTCATTCTGCCACCCAGACTGGAGTGCAGTGGCGCACTCATGGTCACCCACATGTCAACCCATGCCATTGCATTCCAGCCTGGGCGACAGAGTGAGACTTCAACTCAAAAAGAAAAAATGCCCAGCCTCACTAATCATGAGAAAAAATGCTAATCAAAAATAAAGCAGCTAATTTACTCTAATATCAAGTTATCTTACAAATATGATGACATGTAACATATGTCTGTTATTTTTTAGTCTTCCCTTAAAAGTCTTCATTTTACCAGAATTAGGACACTTTAGGGTCACCAGAGGAACAAAAGTCACAATTTATGAGCGTTCTTAAATGGTTCAGTTAACTATAGGAGCAAAAGTCACAATTTATGATAATTGTTTAAAGTTTCTATTAAAATTCTGCTGAATGTTCTGACATACACAAGAAATTGCATGTATGCAACTTAAAACTTTTTATTCTTTTCTGCTGACTATTTGCAGGAAAATAGATATTAAACTTTATTACTTCTACGAAATTGCAATTTTTTTTTGCCCAGAAGCTTAACAATCTCTGTTAACATTTTATGTCACTTTTTCATATATAATAAACATACCTACAATGATGATTTTCAATGTTATGTACTTAACACTAAAATTAGTTCCCTTTCTTGTATAGCATCTCTTCTGCCCAATTCACTAGCTGCAGATTAGACCTCAGGAATGCTGAAAATAGAATCTTTGTGTATTTCATTCTTGATGCACCTTTGCTTCTTTGAACCACTTTAAAAGCGAACCTCATTTTTATGAAAGTGAACTGATAGCATCTACCTTTTTATTTAATTAAAAAAGAAGAAATGAAACTACGTCTTCCCTCACACATTGTACTGGGGGATACTGGTAAGGTAACATGTCCAGAGTGGTCAGTTATTGCTTCAAGTGGGCTTAGAGTCCCATCTGATAATGAGTCTTTCTTTGGCAAAATAAAATAAACAGAAAGTTTAAGTTGAACCATGTAAAATAGAATATCTAAGAGACAATAGTGTTTTCTTCAGTTGTTATTAGCATATGTCTCCTGTGGCCAATGGCTGAAAAAGGGCTCTACAGTATAGGAGGGATGCAAGGAATGGGCTCTTGGCCAGAAACTCTCATGCCGGCATCAAAGGCCTGAGGGTAAATGGAGATTGTGACATCTTTGGACAACTAGGGACATCTCTGAGTCCCACAAATATACAGGGGGTATGGTTCCTGGACTTAAAGGGCCTTGGTTTACACAGCAGAATAGGGCAGAAGAGGAAATCAGAGCACGGTAAGACAAACTGTAATCATTGATGAAAGCCCCAGAACAAGAAAATAAATAAGCTGAATGTAAATGAACATACAGTGATGGAAAATGGTTCAAAGTAGAGAAAGTAGCATTGTTGCAGGCTGAGTAGTATCATGAAAAAGACACGTCAAATCCCTATTTCCTAATACTCGTGAATGTGGTCTTGTTTGGAAATAAGATCCTTGAAGACGTAATCAAGTTAAAATAAGGTCATGGGGGAATGCCCCAATCCATTATAACTGACGAACTTTTAAAAAGGAAAATATCATTTGAAGACAAAGAGTCAGAGACACAGAGAAACTGTCATATGAATGGCAGAGGCAGAGATTAGAGTGATGCAGCTACAAACCAAGAAACACCAGGGACTGACAACCACCACCAGAAGCAAGTCAGGAGCAAGGAAAGATTCTCCCCTGTAGATTTAGAGAGTGTATGGCTCCACTGACACCTTGATTTTGGACTTCTAGACTCCAGAATGGTGAGGCAGAAATATCTG